TTTATAATAAAAATTGGACGATAGTAGGGAATTAACCACAAAAATTAACAATAAGGAATTTAGACCAGATAGGTCTATTTATTAGATGTTAACATATATAATGGCTACCATGCAAAGTCAGCTAAGCGGAAACTGAGGGTTTTCATGAAATATACTGCTGGTGTCTTATTGTCAAAAAGAGCGAATAATAGTACTGAGAGAAGGGCAATTAATGGCGGGCTCACCCGACTATAATGTTCTTGCTTGTTTTTTTTTTTTTTTACAGAAGCGGCTGAACCCATTTGAATAAACCCACAGTAAATTCTTCAACATTTTTTTTGCTTAAGGAATGCTTTGAACGCTCTAGAATGTATGGTAGAAATTTGATCAAATAAAAAAATATATTTTTTCCTGAAATTTTGAGGCTTTTAATATGGAAAAAAATTGTGGACATAGCGATTGAAGTTGGTGTGTGCAGTTTTAATGACGATATGATTACTATTTTAAAGTCATTAAAGTTTCGAAGATGGGTGATAGTGCCGAATTATATAATATTTGCATTGAAGTCGATGGTGACCGGATGAACAAAGCTGAGCGGTCTTTGATAGATGCTGCAAAACGGGCAGGTTGTAGCATAAAATCTTTCAAAGACAAGGAAAGAGGAGGAATATTTTAATTTGAAAGGGCAACTTTACGGTTCTAGAATCGTGCTCAAACACAATTTTTGTTTCATTTTTTCCACGCGAATTTTTTACTATATCTTCAAAATAACGTTATTTAGTGAAACACATCGAATTTTTTCGAAAGTGTGAAAGTGTGTCGTTCCTTTATGACCGAAAAGTGCACGTCTTCATGCAAACACTCGCCAATTATGCAAAAATCAATAATTTTAAAGAAGCCTACGTGTTTGACTGGATATTTCTTAACTCAAAGCTCCACGAACCGAGGATGTCTCCCGAGAGCGGCTGCTGTGTCCCGTTTTTTTAATATTTTTCAAAATGAAATTCTTCTTTCTAAAGAATGCTTAACAACCGCCTCAAATATTCTTCTATATTTCCTTCCATTACCAAGAAGTACTTTTTCTGTTTTAGACTATTATATAATGGTCTATTAACTAACCGAAGAGAAGTTATGTCACAAGTCTAAGACTCTTTTTGGAGTATGCTTCCATGTAGTTGTCATCTGAGATTTGTCTCTAGTTTAACAATAAGTCTCTTTAAACCACAATAGTCGAGTGCATTTTAAACGACCCATATTTGACTTCAAATTGCAAAAGAGTAGGAAAATTAAAATCTATAAGATATGCATAGTTTTTTTCATATATATGTTTTTTTTTTATTAATTCAATTTTATAAGTTATAATACACAATATATATATATATATATATATATATATATATATGTACATGCAAGTAAATTTCTACCTTACATGCGATTACATGTAAATTAGGTTCTTAAACATTATCAATTAATTTCCGTTGCTTCAAATACTTATGTAAGTGTGTGTATAAAATGATTTTATTATTATTTAAACAGTTTGCATTATTTTTAACGTTTAAGATTAATTTGTGTTTAATACGAGTTAATACAACACGAATCTAAATTTTTTTTTTTTTTTGTTTTTTCTTTGTGAATAGTTTTGTTTCTATTTTATATCATTTGATGACAATTCAGCGGGGAATGATTTTAATCATTTCCATTAAATTTAACTTTTTTGGAATGTTAGTAAAACGAAGATATAAAGAGTTTTAAAAAATTTTCAACAATACTTAAGTGGGGAATAATAAAATCTCTGTAATCATGCACATATGCGTGCCACTACCAAGAAAAAAAAAAAAAAATGCCGAATTTTAAAGGACAAAGATCGTCTTTAAAAGCAGTCATGGTTCTCTGCAACAGGAAAAATAATTGTGTCAGAAACAGTCTCAGCATAAGTTTCCTCTTTAGAAATTTTGAACGGTTTACGTAAATTAATTGTTTTAAAGTTGCAATGAAAGAGGGAAATTATCGCAGAGATGTATTTTTTGTACCCATCACCGCAGGATGAGGGGTACATTCATTTTGTCAAAACGTTTGTAACGTCCACAAACAGGCATCGGAGACCCCACAAAGTATATATATTCTTTATCAGCATCAAATTCTGAATCGATCTAAGTATGTCCGTCTGTCCGTCCGATCGTCTGTCCATCTGTATAATGTCTGTTCATTCTCCTGGCCAATGAAGCTATCGACTTCAATGTTAGCAGGAACGTTGAAAGTTCTTGTTCCTGTATTACAATCGTTATCATGAAAATCAAAATATTTGTCAATTCATTTCGGGGACAAGAAAATCTTGGTGCAAAATTAACGAGATGTTTTTTGTCCGTCCTTAACAATACTCTACTATTAAAATTCAGAATAAAGCTTATATCGAGATTGCGACCTAAAGCCTGGCAAATGCATTTCTCTAAACACTCGTGTATATTGTATATTGACTTTAACAAGGGAGGCGAACGCCAATATATGACACACCAATTCGTAGAACAATCAGCAAGAAAATTATATCCGGCTGCCCTTGATATCACTCGCTTCAAAAAAAAAAGAAGAGAAATGTTCCATATTCTAGATTATTTTCCACATGGATATACATGGCAATTTTTTCGGTATGTCTACTATGGTTTATTAGTAACGAGCAAGATATCCAGAAAGCAGAGATGCTCTGCGTATCCTGCGGACGATTTTGCCCAATCAGTGTGCAAGAATTTCCAATACTCCTGGACAATTTCGACCCAATATCTTTATTTTTACTATAGACATTACAAAGATGGACGGATGGACATGTATAAATCAATTGAGAATTTGATGCTAATCAAGAGTATGTGTAGTTAGTGTAGTCTTCGAAGCATGTTTTTGGATGTTGCGAAGATGGTTCGGATCGGTCCGCTTTTTCGATCACTCCCCATATAACGATCTATTCGGAGAAGTCTTTATGTGGAAGAATACTGCAACTTTCAACATTTCTCAGCAAAAGTGGCTAAGCAGTAGTATTTGGGCATTCTAAATTGGTATGGAGACTTTGGACTGGCTGGGCTAATTTTTGAACCCCCTCATACCACGCAAACTAAAGTTCATACGACAAGAAGGTATAATTTTCTATGTGTCATGAATGAAATTTGGACCTTCTCGACCTATTTTTTGGATCCGTCTCTAATAAGGATTATCACGAAAATTGATCCTTTGTAGAGCGGAAAAGTCTAAATGTGGTGATGAAAATTGTAATAATTTCATGCAAAAAGGAACTCTACAAAACTTGGACCATCTACACCTATTTTTTGTCCTTCCCCATGTAAGGAATAAAGTTGTATTACATTAGATTGCATTTTGGATCCGTTTCCTTCTAAATACGCACTTGAAAAATTTGCCTCTATATAGAAACAAGATATAATTTTTGTGTTCTAGAATAAAAATAAGAATTGTTTTAGACAATGTGGTGTAGGGTATTTAATGGTCTTACTATTTTTATTATAACTATAATGATCTTACTCTTTTCCTTTTTTTGGGGAATGGAAGTATAAATCTATATCCGTCCGTTTTTTTGAAGTTAATGCGTAACGGCTAAAAATCCCAGAAAGGCGAAATGTTCTCACTTCCATTGTACTATAGTCGTGTCTTTTGCAGGTTTGTCTCACTTTCAATATCGATCTGCGCGCAACGTTCTCCAAGCTTCTGTTAAATTTGTAGCAGATATCTCCAATTTTGGAGATTATTATAATGATTTAAATAAAAACAATTAATAGACGAGTGGACAAATCGGACGGATAAACATGTCTAGAACGATTGAAATTTGATACTAGTCAATAATAGTCAAATATTATATGGTGACCCAAGTGTCTTCCAAGTGGTCAAAAGAATGTTTACAACAGGCATTACTCGGACAGCCAGACGGACATGCTTTAATCGTTTTTTTTTTTTTTTTAGCTTAACATGACCAACCACTCACGGGAGGATCATCTATTCGTGTAACATGGTGACGGTTAGAGGTGGTGATGGGCGCAGCCAAGTAGATGTGACCTAGATGCAGCCTAGTAGGACTGACCGCTCACTATAACTATGACTAAGAAAAACTCTACGGCACTTGAGGTTTGATGCCGCGAACACTGCGTTATCGTTAGCCACGATTGTTATCTACGCGGCCACACAAGCCGATTAGAATTTGACGCTAATCAAGGATGTGTGTATTTTATGGGGTCTCCGATGTCTCCTTCTGGGAGTTGCAAACGTTTTGACAATATGAACACTCCCCACGTTCTACGGTGATGGGTACAAAACGTTTTTCAAAAATACTTGCCCGCTTAAAAATCATATCAGAGCCACTATGTACTTATATTGCGAACTTACTACCGATATGTGAGTAAAAAAAAAGCAATCATTTTTAAATTAAACTTAATATCTAAACGTAAAATAGTTTGCGATTTCAACTGATTTGCTTGATATTAATTCTTAAAAACTATTATTATGAAAAAGAAAAAGTGCTTTAGAGATATATTCCGTAATGTGGGAAATATACGCTTGCTTTAAAAGACACTTTTCTACCTTATATCACTTACTATTGGGTATATCGCACTCTAAGTATTTTTTACTTTACGTTGCTAAAGTCTAGATTTAGTTTTATACGTTCAACACTGAATGCTTTTTGACGTTGCCTAATGGTAGATGCACAGCTACCACAGCCAAGCGACCATCACGTAGAGGCGCCAGTATATGGGTATTGCCTGGCGTTACTACTACCGTTTGTACAGGCACATGCAACGGTATATCGAATACAGGCTTTAATCTGTAAGAAATTTAAAACGTCATTATATTTATTGGTTTTGATAATTTCGTTGCCCTTAATGACAGTAAACGATGTCAAAATAAAGGTAAGGAAAGAAAAGAATAGTAAAACTTATATTTGACTTAATTTTATTGCTTTTTAATGCCAACCAAGATAAACCGTAACTGCTCATTCACTCAGTTTAACGCTCAGTATATCACATATTACATCACAGATTCAGTCGATGCAATAGTCATATATCGTGTTATAGTAATCGCATTTCATATATACTTCTTATCATATTTACATACAATCTGATGACACCTTCTAAACTTTAAATCGTACTTTAGAGAGACGCTTCGTTTTAGTTGCAAAAAAAAAAAAAAAGTCCTCGACAGACAACATTGAAGTGACTCTGCTATTCAACCTAAGCGATTCGTTATAAATATTTTCCACATCTAATTAATTCCCTGTCTTTGCTATATAAATTATATTTAAATTTTTATTTCATTTGATCTTTTAATATATATACATATATATATATATATATATATACAGCCTCTTGCAAAATTATCGGTCTAATAACAAAAAAGAAATTTTTAATTGTCTTACAGAAGACCTACTATAATATAAAGCCTTATTCATATATATATATATATATATATATCCAAAAAGGATTCACATCATTTTTCGTATAGTGAGTAAAGTATTACTTTAATGATCAGCCCTTCAATATAATTTTGTTTAGATGTTGTTTTTTGGAAAAGGGAAAAAAATTGAATAAAATCAAATTGAATATGTTACGAAAACTTTTACCAGCTACTGTATGTAATATAATACAACTAGAGGCGATTTTTTTTCCTTTTCTTAGCAACAAACCGTAAAAATTTGTAAAATATGATTTATTAAAATAAACAAAAAAAAAAAAAAAAAAAAAAAAATATATATATATATATATATAAATAAATAAAAAGAATGAGATAATAAACTCGACCTTAGAAACGAGAAAATAAAAAATGGCATTCAAAAAACGCTTCCTTTTACGCTAATGTAACTGGGTCAGGGAGAATTAAACTTAAGCACAAATGCTTTATCAGGCTTCTACGCTAGAGAATCAATCACGATTTCAAATATGAAGAGTTAATAGAAATTAAAAAGCATTCGATCGATGTAAATTTTGATTAAATATATATTTTTTGTACCCTTTAGATATTTAATCTGACTTTTTACAATAGACAACAAAATTGCAACTTGCATGTGTGTGTACATCTACATTAACCAATTGGCTGCGTAGTTTATGTTTAAAAGCTCCTCACATAGTGCGTAATTAACATCGACCGATAACGTGTATACGCGTCAAACGCAATACAAATGGAAAACTCGGAGTAAGGCAAATAAGATTTGATTTTTTTATAAGCGAAAAAAATGAATAATTTTTTGAAAATATTTTAAAAAAAATTTTTTTTTTTTTATTTTTTTCTTCTTTATTAATTTATTTTTTTTTTATTTTTTTTTTTTTTTATTTTTTTTTTTTAATATAAAATGTTGGAGTTCAAGTACGTAGCAGGAGGAGACAGGAGTTCAAGAATAAAATGATAGTTGCACACCTATATATAAACTTTTCAATAAAATTTCAGATAATTACAATTAAAGCGTCGCGCGCGTAGCACAATGTAAAGAAATGGGTATCAACAAGCAGCATTTACAGCATACCATGTTATTCTGTGTTAAAAGTGCAGCTGAAACAATTGGAAAGTGGTTTGCGAAATTTCGTGCAAGTAGCTCTGGTCTTGCAGAAGATAAACAGTCTGGCGCTCCGTGATAGTTGTCAGATGAAGAAGAAGAAGAAGAAGAAGAAGAAGCATATCTAGCCTAGCAAGCTCATAAAGGGCAATAAACCAACAAGCAATTGCACTTCGATAGCACGCAAGAAGAAGTACATAGAACGAAATGGAATAAATAGCTTCCTCACGAGGTATTCCGCCGAAGTGGATAAAAATCGAAGAGTTGACATCTGCTTACATTTGTTAAGTCACTATAGAAATAATGATTATATTCTTCACGCTATTAGGGGCAATGAGGAATGGATCCTGGATAAACGGTCTTAAACGAGGTAAAGCATGTGTTAATCTAGGGCAACCACCATCTACATCTCTTGCAAAGTCCAATGTTAATGCCCAGAAAGTACTAGTGTGCGTACTGGAGGATTGAAAAAAACGGAATTTTTTACTACGAATTAGCAAAGCTTGGTGAAACTGTTATATCTGAACGGATCAATTCAAACTAGTCCAACTAAGTGATCTGCGTGAGTACCACAAACGGTTCACGAAGGACAAAGGAACTCGAAAATCGTTTTTTTCTTTTTTTCATGACAATGCCCGTACACATGCATCAATCATGCAATCGAGAAAGTGATCTTAAACATGTTTTGAGAGCGGGAGCATCCGTAAGCTACTCAATAAGTGCTACTCAATAAGTAGTCCTATAGTACTTCTTGATTCGTATAAATAATGCACTTATAACCATAGTCTTAACCACACTGCTCATATGATGCTAAAGATAAGGAAGGATTACTTTCGGTTTTCTTAGTGAACATTGCACGGTGAATGCCTTCTATATATCAACGAGTTTAATCAATTTTTTTTTTTCATTTTGGCATTTCCATGGCAAGCTTACTGGTATCATAAAGACAACATGCCACCATGAGATTTTACTGAAGTTCATTGGCTCTATATCGAATCGTACTTCTTTATTTCCTATGATGCCTATATGCCTCATAGGTTAAAGAGGAAATATAAATAAAGGGTAGCAAGGGTGCTACTGAACTTTATTACCTAGTTTTATCGCTTCAAAAATGTTGAATCGAATATTAAGGAGACAAACGTTAAATAATACAAATCAACTTTGAAAACGTAAGGAATATCGGGCAAGGGGTTTCGTGAAAGTCTACAAGGCTTGCAGAGCGAAGAGCTGCTTACTTGGCAATTTTTGCACGCTTAAAGAGAATAAGATTCAAAAAAGAAGCAAGAGATAAATGTGGATTAGGTGAAAGGTGAAAGATGTCGAGCGACGTTTTCCCCTAAGTGAAATGACGAATATAATAATATTGAATAATGAACACTGCATGTGGGGATTTTTATGGCCCTGAGTGGCTTGTAGTGAATACAGATAGATTTTTTTTTTTTTTTTTTTTTTTACAACAACAACAACAAAAAAACTCGATTCACTTAAACAGTATAAAAAGAGACTATCCTGTTTTAATAGCAATTGTGAGTTCTTGTGTTGTCATGAGTAGGCTTTCGGGTCATTAAGGGAGAATTAATCGTGATTTTCAGAAATGAAATATCGATGATAAGCGCGATTCAATAAAATGAAAATGATTTTCAAAAATTTCAGTTATATAACTTATATGAAGGACGTTACACTTAATTCGTTAATCGATTATATGGTACAGAAAATTTGGGAAAACTATCACGACTCATCCGAATATATGAACAGCGTGAAACTGTTCTGAAATTTGTTTCGAGTCATTTTTTCACAGTTCGCTATGTAAATTTTTAAATCTTTAGAGAAAAATTTCATAATAATAATAATTTTTAATTACATATATTTTTCTTTCAAATCATGAGACCTCTTCACTCTTAGTGCTTAAGTGTCTATTGATGTTAATATCTAAAAGATAGATGGGTATTAGAAAAATTGTTGAATTTTTGAAAATTTGGTAAAAAAAATTGATTGCTATCTATAAAGCACTTTAAATAAAATATTGATAATAGTAATTATACATAACAGTCAATGAACTTAAGTGCTTAACAAAAGACAAGGACAAGTTATTTAACGGTGGTAAGCAGCTTAATAATCAGCAAAAAAAAAAAAAAAAAAAAAAAAAAAAGAGCAACAAATAATAATTCAAACGCTTGTACTAATCAGATATCTATCTATCTATCTTTGATAGGAAAAGTAATAAATTAATGAATCATTTCTACAAATCGAACTTAATTAATATTCAAATGCATTAAACTTTTCTTTTTTTTTTTTTTGTATTTTTTTAATAAGCATTAAATTAATTAAGCAGTAAACCTAATTAATATAACAACTTAACGACTTACCCGTGTAAACGACTCATAGTTATATCACCGGCATCGTCAGCTACAACCAGATAATCAGAAGCAGTTGTTAAACCAGTTACACGGCCGGAGACATATTTTGAACCTAAATTAGTGCCATTAATACTGTAAACATGTACCGAATGAGATGTATCATCCAATGCACTGAAGGCAATATGACCTAAATGATAAACGAAAACATTTAAAAAAAGTTAACTTAAATCTAATTTATATGAATTAATATAAAATATGTTTAAACATAAAAATTTTATTTAGTTCTATAAAGGGTCTGAGTTTGAACTTTTTTTTTTGTCGAAATATGACCCATCAGTCAGGGGATGCGCTCTACTCGTGTCACATGGTGACGGATGCCGTGAAAGAGGAGTGAGTGAGGAAAGTCACAGGGAGATGATAAGTGTTATGCTCTTATCGAGTGAACACTCGCTATAGAAAGTACTCGCAACGACAGTAAACTCTACCGCACGTGCGATTTGCATTTGCGAACACTAAATTGTTGCTAGTCGTAATTGTCACCTCTTCGACTACTCGCGCGGACACATAACATATAGTGCTAATTCCAGACCATATACACCCAACTCTTTCGTTGCAAGGACTTTTTTTTTTCCCCGACTTGTATGAATAACACGATTCGCCAATAAGAACGTGAAAGTAATTTTTTTCTAAATCTAATTTTTTGACAATGTCTTACCGAAACTAAGAAACGATTTCAACAATTATATAAGCAACTTGAGAAACCGAAAAAAAAAACAAATACAACATGAGTCGTTAACAACTAACTGCTTCATATGAGTCGAATCCAACAATTATGCTAGACATATCTGCCATATCTTCGACTGGGAATAGCATATTTGGTCCAAGCGTCCAACAAACGGGCAAGCTTGAACCGTTAGTTATGAAATTGATTTTCATTCCTAGTTTACAGTTAAATTTTTATTTGCTGTACTTATGGACTAAATTTTCATTATGCTCTATTTTAATTTTTTTTATGATGCATGAATTCCGCTCTCACTTTATCACATTTTTTGCACGGTTTTTCGGGAAAATATTTCGAGTTTTTTTTTTTATCTTCCAGAGCGACTTTAATTAAAAATCTATTTTGTAAATTCGAAAATTGGCATTCGCGCAACATGCAAATTTGGTTCCGCGAGAATCGCGGACTACCAGGCAATGTTGAAAAAGATAGATTTTTTAATGAATAAGCAGTAATCTTCAGATTTATTCGGCAAAATGTTTATTTCTTGATTGATTGTTTTGTTATTTAAATGCTTCTTATGTAGTAAAAATAAAAATTAACAAAATGCTTGCGTTAAATTTTTAAATGAAAATAATAACACGAGAGTGAATAAAGAATTAAAGTGGAGCGATAAAACTAAATGTTGTTTCCATGTTTTTCTAAGGAATCTACCTATCGTGTAAAAAGACAGTTAGGTGTATACAGAGTGATAACAGTTCAGATGCCGGGGAGTTTCTGTTAGTTAAATTTTTTTTTTTTTTTTCAAAATGATATAAATAAGTATCAAATAATATAACATATGTAAACGAAGGTCAAAAATTAGCAAAATCTTACCAAAGAGCTTTTTTTATATTGAAGGCATGACAAAGGTTTTTCCTCTTTTTTTCTTTTTTGCCTACGCGGAAGGGAAGGGTGATGGAATGATTCTATTTAAGCACGTGTTGTCGATTAAGTAACATACATTTCACATATTTACTTTTATCTAGAATGGCGAATAAGTGATCATTAATTTCCCTAAAGCGTTTACAGAGATCCGGCAAAAGAGAATGCAGTTCATAGTTAGTTAATAACTAAGTAACGAAATTCGTGCGGTGCACATTTAAGTAAGAAGAATGCTAAGCCGGTAGCTCAAAAAAATCTCCAATAGATGGCAAGAAATTTGTTTGTACAACAAGAGATAGGTAGCACGAAGGTTGAATACATCACATTTAACTATCAGCCTTCAGTTGAAGAAATTACGAAAAGTCAGCAAGGCAAAAAAAAAAAAAACGGACATCGTTTATGACTCTGCTTACATACATAACATTTTAATACCCTGCGCTATATATAATATAAGGATATATCTAGAAGCGATTGAGTTAGGATCACCTTTCAGAATCATTCTCTGAATCGATCTAACCTTTTTTGCCGGCCTGTTAGTCTAACAGTCTTCTTTTCTTATGCTCAACTTATAGACCGCACGGGACATTTATAGAATATTATGAATTGAAGAAGAAAAGATTTAAATAGTATTAATATATCAGCCTTACAATCAATTGGGATTTTCGATTAGTTGTACCATAGAAAGGCCCTGCCATATTATGCACTTTGTTAATAATGTAATTTTCAAAATTAATTTTTGCATTTAAGGTAATTTTTCGATATTTGACTTTAGAAGATCAGTCAGTCTATGGTTACATTATATTCGATGATCTAATAACTTTAAATATATAGAAAAAGTTCTTATTAAATTCTTATTGCATGGGATTGCATATGTGAAGAGCGTCGTTAAACGAGCATAAGCATGTTATTGCATATTTAAATTTAATAGACATGGAAATGAAAGATCACTTATAGAACCATAGAACCATAAAACCAAAATCTTACTAATCTTACATGGATCATTAAGCCATTAAGCTTCGTTGTGCATACGGTGGGATCAGCGGAATATTCATGGCCCTTAAACTTCGTTGAGCATAAGGTGGGGTCATGATCCGATTGCAACTGTTATTGCAGATGTTTTGTCGACGTTAATTGAAGAAATTGACCGATGCGTCGCTGCAAAAAAGACCAAAGCAATGGCGGTTAACATAGGCACAATCATCCTCTGGCACGAGAACGATCGGGCGCATGTTTCAAAAGAGGTCAAGGATACTCTGTTGCACTTCGAATGCAAAGTTCTGCCACACTCAGCGTACTCACCAGACATAGCGCCTTCTGACTACCATTTGTTCCGATCGATGTAGAATGCCTCGGCTTACACGCGCGCTCGAAATGCTAACGAAATGCGAAAACGGATCGATGATTGGATCGCTGTCAAACCAATATCGTTCTTTCGACACGGTATCGCCATGTTGCCAGAAACATGGGAAAAAATTGTAGAAAATGATGAAAAATATTTTACCCAATATATATGGTATCGATTTTTCTCAATAAATGCTTTTTTTTCAAGTGAAAAAAAGGCCAACATTTTTGCAAGCACCTAATGTATTGGTCTTTAGTGACGTACTGCGATAAATATATGAATATGTCTGCTCTTTTTTCCTGGAACACGCCCGAATAGTCAACATCGAAATTGGGTTTGATCGAGAGCTAATCTATGGGGAAAGTGATATAATACTTTTTACTCATTCTGCTCTGCTCCACTATCCAAAATTGCATTAACCATTCAAAGACAGTGATAAATTTCGGGTCTAACCAACTTCCGATGCTATTTGATCTAATTTTTAATATCTTCACTTCAGGTTTCATCTATTTCATCACATAAATTATTATAGAATAATTGGATCAAAATTTCGCTCCAATATGAATCTCCAGTTTAAGATAGTATGAGGAAAATTATGCATGTTGATCTACTAGTGTGCGACGCTAGATTAGATTACTACATCATAGCTTGCTTACCTCTCGGTAGGTGCGGTCTTACAGACAACATGTCGTGCAGCCCGGATTCCATCAGAAAACCTTTCTAAAACAGTTGCTTACATCACGCTTTGATTGCTTAGGTTCATTAATATACTCCTGCCTTAAGTTGCAATACTTTCTAAAGTCGTATCTATCCTTAAGTCTGCCTAGTAGTTACCGCCCTATTTAACTTTTTAGTTCTCTAGGTAAACTGCTTGAAAAGGTGATCTAAGAGATACCGACCAGCCTTGTTGATGTCTTATCGATTTAAGCCGTTGAACAATTTAGTTTTAGACATGATTTAAAAACAATACAAAATGTTAAGAGGCTGACACCCCATATTAAAAGTGACCTATCAAAAGAAAAACTTAGTCGTCCGGCACAGCAGACTTGCCGCTAAGTTACTTACTTTTAAAATGGCGGATCATTTAGTAAAAAGCCATTAGAGGTTTTTTTAAAAAATCGCCAACTTTTTGTTGGAATAAACAAACAACAATCTTATTTGCCGCTACCGCTATTGCTGATGTATCCCAGGGCTCGGTGTTGGGATCGTTACTGTATTTATTATATTACTCACTCTGTCAAATGCTTATGCGTTTTTCGCGAAAGACACTGCAGTCTTTTGACCCGGAGCTTTTCCTCACGAGATCTGGAGGAGCTTAATGGCAATAAATCTTTGGACCTATTTTTCACAACAAAACAAAGTCCTTGCTTTCTCCTTCTAAGAATAATCTTCGGGTAGACAGTCATAAAATTCAACAGTCACACATACCCATAGACTATAGATACTTGGACTTTATTTTCGATGAGAGAAATTTATTTTCAACGAGTACTTAACGAATATTGTTAGAATAATATATATTAAAATTATTTAACGAGTCTTGGGGGAATATTTTCCAAGCCATTTCGCAGCATCCATGTCCAAGTGCGGAGTTAAAAAGTGTGCAGTGCTACAGTAAAACACGACAAAGAATAGGAAACAACTAATTAAAGTTGTCTACCTTGAATCTTTTGAACTACCAGACTTCATATACATAGTAGTGTCCAAACTATATATGAACGAAAATATATTTTGAAGCCGCTGATCCATGTCACTTAATCCTTATATGGCTAACCCATATATATTCGTGCAGTGTGACTTGAAGTTGTTGATGCCTCTCTTTATGACCACCGCTGTAAGATGGGGGTGTACCCGTTTTATTTTTTTCCATAATATTTTTAACACCCTAAAGGAAGCTTCAGATACCCCATAAAGAAGATATTCTGAAATTCTGAGTTGTTTTAGCCATGTCTGTCCATAGTGTAGTGCTTGTTGTTGCCACGCTCCTGGTTAAAAAAATGAAGACATCGGCTTCAAATTTGCTAAGAATATTGGAAGTTTTTCCACGCACGTTGGCATTGCAAATGAGCTAAATTGGCTGGAGCAGAAGCCTGCAGTGGAGCAGAAACTGAATGCAACCCCGTTTTTCTTAACAAAAATTTATGGGTTTTTGCTCGTTGATGCTCAGAAATTGCAAAAGTTGGAAGGATGAAATTTTCGACATTTA